TCAAATGTTTTTATTATGTCTTCTAAACGTTAGAGATGTTATTTAACGTGATTTACTATTTGGCACGTTGCATACATTGCATTGGACTATGAATAAAATATTTTAAAACTAATAAATTTTTGTGTGATATGTCGAATATCTTTTTCAGTAATATTACTCAAACGTATGTATCATTCCCATAGCCCTAATGACAATTAATCTAATATTAACTAAAAAATCACAATCACGAGAAAAAAAATCACCTTTTGAATGTGGATTTGACCCTTTATCTATAAGACGAATCCCTTTAAGGAGACAATTTTTTCTCATTGGTTTAGTCTTTCTAGTATTTGACGTAGAAATTACAATACTTCTACCCCTTATTCTTTTATTAAACTTTTACAAAACTATTAATACTATTACAATTATAACGTTTTTCATTTTAATCTTAATTATAGAACTTTTTTTTGAATATTTAGAACAAAGTATCGAATGAAAAATTTAGAACTTAGGTATTAGTTAAATTATAACCTTTAAATTGCAATTAAAAATCAAAAAAATATTTTTTATACCTTCTCATAAAGTATTTCTATACACTTAATTTCGACCTAAGAAAAGATTAATAAATAATCTATGAGAAATTTAACTGAAACCAAATTAGAGGTAATTTATTGTTAATAAATTAATTGAATTATTTATTTCTGTTAATACAAACCATTTTAATACTACACCCAAGTCGAGATAATTAAAATCAAGCTTCTAACTTGATAATTATAGAGTTAGTCTATTTATCTCTTAAAAAATTTACTTATATAGTTTAAATCAAACCGTATATTTTCAATATAAAATTATTAATATATTAAATTTTAATTATAAGTAATAACCAACTCATTTAAAAATATATAAATATTTTCCTAGTATCTTCAGTACTAAACTTTATTACATAAGCTATTTAAATTATTAATAAATCATAAATAAAAGTGTATACACCCACATATTAAATATTAATAACAACAATCAAATAAATAATTCTAATATACCTAAATATAAATAAACTTAATAATTTAATCTTAATAATCTTAAATCTCTTCAAAATATCCAAAACTATAGATTTGTAAGAAAACTCAATCTAAATCTTATCAAACTCTAATGATTTATACCAGTAAGGTATAAAAGGCTTATAGATATAACTAAAAAAAAACATTATTATTCACATAGAACTAATGAAATAAACAAAAAAATAAAACTTAAAAAAATTATAAAAATATATAATCAGACCAATAACTACCCCTACTAAACATGCCCTTAAAGTAATTAACTTCAATAAAATATTCAAATAAACATAAGTAAAATCAAAAAATGTTACTCATGAAATTAATGATCCAAAAATCACTCTCATTATAAGTAAAATAAATATTGACAAATTCATACCCCATCTTCTAGTAAATATAAATCAAGAAAAATAAAAATTAATTCTACCAAAATAAATATAATACACTAAACGAACAGTGTAACTTACAGTAAAACACAAAGAAATAATTCTTATAAATATAACTAATAAATTTAAACTTTTAAAATATAAAATCTCTATAATCAAATCTTTTGAATAAAACCCAGCTATAAAAGGAGCTCCACATAAAGAAATCCTCGAAATATAAAACCTTATTATAATAAAAGGAATAAATTCATTTATTTTACCATAAAATCGAATATCTTGATTATTAGATATTAAATGAATTATTGATCCAGCGCACAGAAATAATAATGATTTAAAAATAGCATGAACTTCCAAATGAAAAAACGACACATATTTATACCCTACACTCAGAATCATTATTATTAAACCTAATTGACTTAAAGTAGACAAAGCAATAATTTTTTTCAAATCAAACTCAAAATTAGCTATAAAGCCAGCTATAAACATAGTTAATAAAGAAATAATATATAATAANTCTGAAAATCAAGTTATTATTAATAATTCATTGAATCGAATCAACAAGTAAACTCCAGCAGTAACTAAAGTTGAAGAATGAACTAACGATGATACAGGTGTAGGAGCTGCCATTGCCTGAGGCAATCAATAAGAAAATGGAATTTGAGCCCTTTTAGTGATAGCAGCAACAAAAATTATTATTATAATTAATGAATTATTACTCAAAATTAATACTCTCCACCCACCATAAGATGTTATAATACCGATACACATTAATAAACCTACGTCTCCTACCCGATTTGATAAAACAGTAACTATACCAGAATTATAAGAAGAATAATTATTATAATAAATCACTAAACAATAAGAAACCAACCCTAATCCGTCCCAACCCAATAAAATTCTTACTACATTTGGACTTAAAATCATAAAAACTATAGATAAAATAAACAAAATTACTAATATATTAGGAGTATAAATAAGTTTCCGCCGTTTGACAAAAGATGGTCTCAATAGTATGTTA